ACAGACAGACAGACAGACAGACGTCCGTACCAGTGCATGCATCCGTCCGTCCGTCCGTTCGTCCATCCATGCATCCATCCGTCCATCCATCCATGCATGCGTGAATGCATGAACAGAAAAACATACACATAATACATAATACATGTACTCATGTTATACATGAATATTCTGTGCATCATGTAGACCATAGCAGATGTCTCAAGGACCGTGCACGCGAGTCCGTGAGACTGGAGCTGTCGTAGCAAAACCTGGCTCAAGGTCCAGGCCCAAAGGTTCACGGCTGTGGCCGCAGAGGTGATCGTGAGGTCAGACACCACCACCATGATCTGCAGAACAGCAAGCGGACATGCGGCCATGGTTCACTCGCACACTGCAACTGTGTCCCAAGCATAGCTGTGGTTGAGGAACGGCTCGATAGTGGCTCGGAATTTGCCATTCTTCACCTGCAAGTTGCAAAAAGAAGGTCGGACCGCCAGCCCAGAGCGGTGTCTCGCGACGGTACAGAAGATCGAAGAGCATCTGCCTCAAAGTTGCGGAAATTCGTCTTCGCTTTTTGGCAGCTGAGCTTAAACCTGGCAAGTGTCCGAAGAAACCGCCAGGCTCGTCCCTCAAGTAGTTTGTCTCCCTTGTTTCTGAAGCCGGCTGCATGCATGTGAGTGTGTAGCTGTATGTACCGACATATCGTGTGTGTATGTCCAATCTCACGCAAACCATCGCCGTCACGACTGGCTTCCTCCTCGATACAATACAATTAGCACCCTCAGTGATGCATCCGTCGTTTCTCGCCGCCCACTCGCTTCACGCACACAGATAAACGTATACAATCACAAAATCTGTCGTACAGGCATAGCGCTCTCACTTCTTCTGCTCTCTCTCTCTCTCTCTACCAGGCCAGAGGAGGAAGGCGGCAGCCCCCCCTCAGTGGCTCGGCTGTACCAGGGCACTCACGGATGTGCCCCCCGGAACGTCAAAGCGCAGCCGTTCACAAGTCGATGCCAAGTACGTAAAACTCCCGTCCCGGGCAACACTGCACTGCTGCGACACTCAGCGAACCTGGCCTGAGAGTAGAAACGACTCCGACTAAGGACCGGACGCCCCCATAAGCTAACGCAAACCAAGACGACCCCCCACCAAAGCAACAGGAAAAGGCGAACTCCGCAACTCTGAGATTCCGGCCGTCTGCGACAGGGAATCCCCCGGAAGCAACAGAGGTACTTCACCACTAAAGGTAGCATTTGAGGAGACATAGGCATACATACATCCCCCGTCGCATACGGAAAAAATGGTTCGGTGTCGGCCGCCGTCTGCAGGGGTCCCCCGAAAGCAACAAGGCGCTGCGCTAGCAAAGGTACGGCCTATGACCCCACGAAGTTGTTGTAATCCCGCTCGCGGCTGAGTGCGCCATCGAGGCCTCGTATACACTACTGCTCCTCGGTTTCCAGCAGAAGAACTATGGGCAAACACGAAAACAAAATGTTGACATGGGACAGTAGGATACAAAGCGCCAGGGACGATAATTCTTCTGTGGGCTGCTCGGAGCTAAGTACGATGCACTGCAACTGTTTGGTCCCCGGTCACCGCACTGAGGGGTCAACAAGCAACAAAGTAAAGTATGGACCACAGGACTCCCCTCACATTCGAAAAACACAGAGTATGATGTAGTGCATAACTCGGTGGACCGGTCCAAGTTCGAAATCCCCTCCGTCTTGGTGTCAGGTGGGGGCCTCTATGCAAGTACACTAAAAACAACTAAGCAAGGCTGCAGCTGAAAGCCCCCCCATGGCAGCGAAAGAGCGAGGGCCTATGGTTGGCTGCACTCCGTGAGTGGTACCAACAGGAAAAAGCCCCCCTTAGGCACAGTCCCCCACGAGCTGTTATGGGCAGCCAACATTCGGCGGCGACGGTGACTCTCGTCGCTGGAAGACTTCTCGTTATGATCATGGCTCTCCCTTCGTGGCTTGCCGGCTCACCATCCCCCGCATGCAGTGCTTGACTCCAGACATGCCACGGCAGCGTAGTTGGCCAGCGAATCAGTTCCCCCCCATCTGCAGGCACTGGCACTTGTGGTGGTAGCGGTCCCAGCTCCACCGGTGGCGCGGCTTCTCCCCCGGCGTCAAGCTGCGTTTGGGCTGCTTCGTTCATAGCTTCCACCATGCTGTCCGTAAGGTAACGTTCGGCTTGGGAGGCGGTCGTGCCAGCGAGGCCGATCCATCCCCCACCTGTCGTCATCTGCTCCTCCTTGATCGCACCGCCGTGGTCCGCAAGGGCTGGCTAGGTCCTCGCGCTTGATCGCACCGTCCAAGTGCGCCTGGGCCTTCGCCTGTCGTTCCCCCCGTGGCAATCGCCAGGTTGCAGTGGCTCCCCCCCTCAGTCTTCGCGGGCCGCATGTCGCTCTAGTGGCCCCCCCTCCTTTGTGCAGCCCCAGTGGGAGTGCGACTCCATCGCTCGGTCTTTGTATGCTACAACCTCGAGGGGTCTCGTGGAAGGCTGTGTTGTACCGGCGGTAGGTGGGTGCATGTAGCTGCTGGGGGGGGGGGGGGGGGGCGGAGGCCATGGCACCAGCCAATTCAGCACACCCTCCCCCCGCCCGGTGTTGGCGTAGCATCCCCCGACGGCCGAGATCGGCGAGCGGAAGGTCTCGTTCGCATCCATGCCGAGCAGTGTCCTCCCTTTGGTGATGGTCCCCTCCCACTCCTATACTATAAGATCTGTTCTTTCTGAGGAATCGTGGCATGGTGAGGGATGTGTCCGGCAAGAACTCTGAGCTTGCTGTTCTGGACCTGAGTGTGCGTGTGTATGCGCTGTTGTGCGCCACTGCCTCTCCTCTGAATTGCCCCTCCAACTTCCCATGAACAATCTGCCAGTGGTCAAACTCCGCATGTTTGTCCCCCGCATCCGTGAGTTCCCCCGGAAGCTCTCGAGGACTTCCAGGACTTTGTTAGCCGTCAAGCCCCCGACGTTCCAGCAGAGACACCAAAAGTGAGTGGCAAGTGGCCCCCCTTCATGTGTTGCATGCATTGCACAGTCAGGCGGGCGGTGAAACTCATCGCCACAGTGGTCTCAGTTGATCTCAGCTCGGAGTGGCCCCCAAGCTGTAGCGATCTCATCCTTGCTCCTCCTGAGTGCTTTGGCTATGGCGGTTAGGTCGACCCATCCCGGCCCAGCTTCTTCAGCTGTACTTGACCTGGAAGCGGTTGTCGAGCAGACTTTCTGTGTCCCCCCGCTCGTTGTGATCCACGCACTGCCGCTGTTGTACTCCATCTCCACAGCACTTTTGTCCCCCCCGTTTGACAAGTACAACCTCTTCACTGTGGCTGCCAGGCGCGATCGACGTCGTCTCTTCGGTGGCTGCGACATGGCGATCCAAACCTTCTTGATCCCGCCGTCGGGCCTCTGCCCCAACTGCCCGTTGGCATCCCGCACTCGACTGATCACGTCCTGGATGCGATTGCGACGTTGGCCCACCGTCTTTCCCGGGTTCTCATCGATGGGCAGGATTGCGTACCCCCGCTTAATGCCAGGGACAAAGAGGCCGTCCAAGCTGATGGGTGCCCCGACTTCAAGATGTCCTCCACCGCTTGCTTCGTCTCTTTGGCATCCTGGTCTGAGCCCCATCCCCCCACCACCAATGCCGGTTTGCGTCCTCCGTCGCTCATTCTCAGGGGTGGTGCTGGCCCCGGCATGGCCAGATCCCCCTCCCCCGTCTTTCTCCAGCCGGTCCAAACGGTGGTGTATCTCCCGGCTTGCTTCCTGCAGTTGCACGAGGATATCCTGCTGACCATGGTACTTGCTCGTCATGTCCTCGAGGAGGTTGATGGTCTGCTGCATCTTCTGGGTCACTTGACTTTCTACACTGTCCACACGCACAGCGAAGGATTTGATGTCTTCCCGCATTTCCCCCACCGCGTTCTTGATTTCGCCTCGGATGGCTTCCCGGATGAGGTCTAACGTCAGTGGCGGGCTTCGCCCCCCTGCAGGCACTGCAGGCTGCGGGTCACCTGCGCGCCTCTTCTGCGGCGAGCTGCCCTGCTGGTCCACCACCATGTCTGCCCCTGCCCCCCCTCCATTGCCTGCGCTCTCCACGGTAGCTGGCATTCTCGGCGCTCTCGATAAACTATCATGTTGCACACGTACCCTCCGGATAAGGTGCGACCCCGTGTCCTTGCGGCGACTCGCACCGAGGGAGAGGTATAGGGTTGGTGATGCCCGTCACTCAGCCGCCTTAGCCGGTGACAAGCTCCCCCGCACGCCTCGAATGGACCCCCCGCTGGAACAGTCCTGATTATGTCGTCCCCCCCGGACTCGCACGAGGAAGAACGCGAAGGTTGCCCCCTTCGGTGAACAGCAATCGCGGCGGAGGCCTGACAAGATTTCCCCTGCAAGCGCCCGGGTTGAGAGGAGCCGGGCCCCAAGGGACAGAGAAGGAAAGAAGAAGGCGGAAGGAGCCCGACCCCCTTGAACCACTCACGGCTTGAGCCAAAATGGCTACTCTCTCTTTCTTTCGCCAGGGCTACTCTCTCTCTCTCTCTCACTCTCTCTCTCGACCTGCACACAGACAATTACATACCCTTGCAGCAGAAGCATGCATCTGCATGTCTATCTCTCCATTGTCTCTCTTTGCATTTGCGGGCTTGTACAGGTACATCGGACCATACGGCTTTATCTCCCTTTTGCTGTTTATGTGTTCATCCCATAATTGATTTGATATGTGCGTGTGTGTCTGAGAGTGTTCTGAAACCGCTCTTTTGCAGCTCGGAGTGACAATAACAAGCGTGGCTTTGGGGCTGCTTAATGATGTTGGACAACTTCTCGAAGCGGTAGCTGTCCTGATGCGTGCAAAGGTTACCAGGCGAGCGTATCCCTGCAACCATGCAAAAACCTGCAAGAGGCCCGGAAGCAAAAATCTCGCTGATGCCATGCAGACTCGAGAAATTCCATCACTGTCGCTTGTCAAGAAGGGCCCAGCATCGAACAACGAGAGAACGATCGGTGAAGTATGACAGGCAACCTTTCATAGTTGCCGGAGCTAGGAAAACTTGAACTCGTGTCCGGCGAACTCGTGTCTTCGCGACGGCTTTGAATGTCGGGCAACTTCGGCTTCGGGAGTCTTGCAGACGTTGCAGTCTTCCCAGTCCCAATCCTGGATGGACTTGGTCAGCGCATGCGAGATGACGAGGAAGGTGTTCTTCTCGAAAATCACGATCTGGTCGAATTGTGCTACAGCGGCCGCAGACGAGTCCCAGAAGTCGGGAGAGCAGCCTCACATAGCCTTGCAGCGTGCAGGCGCCTCGTCAGCTTGCAAGACCTGACACATGAAGTCCAGGTGATCCCTCGGTTTTCAATTCAACCTCTGCATCTTTCTCTGCGACCGAGACAAATCTGAGCTGACGACTGCAAGATCTGCGGATCTGGAACGAGCACTGCCACAATCCTGGCAGGCTGCGTCGCATCTTTTAAAGAACACAACAGGTCTCGGCACATCGGATGCCACAGGGGTTCTGCAACCCTTCGGCACCCTGAAGCCCACAGCCCCCCTGCCCCCGAACGGCGGGTCTTTGTCCAGGCTTTGAAGAGCGTGTCATCCTCAGTGGCTGCTCTTGACCGGTATGAGGGCGACCGAGACGCACCCCTGAGTTCCAGGGTCGCGGCCCAGATCGATGTCGGCAGGCATGTCTCAGCACACAAGGCCAGTAGAATGAACTGGGACGACTGCACACAGACGTCATGAACTGCGAAAATACGAAAGGCCCCACATGCTCACAAAGAGCGAAAGTCACTCATGACTCAGGATGCCCTGTCTCTGTATGTCTCTGTGCAGCCCAAGAGCCAAGTTTCGGTTCGGGGCCAGGTTTAGCAGCTCCTTTTGGGCATGTGCTTGGTTAGCCTTGCATCTACAAAAGCTGGCTGGGAACGAGCCAGTCAGATTGCTCTACGACACGAATCCTTTGGAAAACGGCTCCTTCTCGTACTGCTTAAAGACCTCCATGCGCTTGCTTTCGTGCAGGAGGTCCAACCTCAGGTCAGAAGTGCGACTGGCATGCAAAGACAGGAAACGGCACGGGGGCGTGCTGCGACCACAGCATGAGCACCAGCAATTGCAGCAACGACGACGACGATGAGACAACCACCACTACCACCGTCATCGCCACAACGGCAAACCAACAACCGCGACGACGACGACTCCGACTCCGACTCCGACGACAAATCTCACGGCACCCATCTCATCCACATTTGTGACAACACGAACCAAAAAGACAGCCACGACGACGACCGCGACCACGACCACGACGACGACGACGACGACCTCCACCGCCACCGCCACCGCCACCGCCACCGCCACCGCCACCGCCACCGCCACCGCCACCGCCACCGCCACCGCCACCGCCACCGCCACCGCCACAGCAGCAGCAGCAGCAGCAGCAGCAGCAGCAGCAGCAGCAGCAGCAGCAGCAGCAGCAGCAGCAGCACCGCCACCACCACCACCACCACCACCACCACCACCACCACCACCACCACCACC